AGGTTTGTATCGCTTCGCTGTAAAACATCATCAATCTTGTCGAACTTCCCTTATCATATTTTGATATGATATTCTAACAATAAGATTCCCACTTTACAGCAAATTAAAACATCCTGTATGAAGCGCTATATCTGTTTGTTTGCTTCTTCTGGGCAAATTGAAAAGCTCTGTTTCCCACTACCCGCATATCCTACATAAGTTTTTGCATTTTTCAGCGCTCTCAGTGTCAGTTTTTATTCCTGTGCGTTGTTGGTGTGTCCAGAAGAGTTGTAGCTTTAGTTCGCTTTTTTCGCATTCTCATCAAATCAAATCTTCTTTTGTCTATGTACTTGCCACGGCATCAAAGGGGGTTCCACGACAAGGTCGAAGGTCAAAGAAGGGAAAATTTCATTAGTGCAAGGACAGGCAGACTTCCTAAGAGTGTGGACCGGGCGCGCAATTCGTAGCGAAGAGTGTTTCCGGCGATCTAACATCGCTCTCCCCACGGCGCTATCGGCGCGATACGCCCATCGACTGGCTACCACTCGCCGCAGGTCTCTAGCCGTTTGGCGGAGAGAGCGTTAGCGTTGAAGAGGCAGCACCGATGAGAGTCGCATCAGTGCGAAATTCACAGAAGGGAAGAGATGCCAGTTCCTTTGTTTTGGGCTTCATTTCTTTATTTTCTTAGTCCCAGCGCTATAGACCATCTTTACATTACACGAGTGGGCTGCCTTCTATTCGGAAACTCCGTCTTCGAGTGAACAACTATTAAAAACCAGGTTAAGGTTGAACTAGTTGGGGAGCTAGGGCCAACATATACGAAGCAGGCATAAACTAGCAAGAAAAAGACCTCAGATCGTCATGGTCATTCAAGATGAGATGTGATACCTTATGTCTGCTTTGAAATACTGACTACAAATCTCCTTTCTAAACCTGCTAACTGATTTTTCTGATGCCCAAGGAGGTTTTTGTTCACGTAAGTTATAATCCGAAAACTATACGTACAAAGTGCTCTTAGAAAACTCGTAATACGAAAGTACGTACGTTTACTAGATACAAAGTACTATCGACGATAAATTCCCTGAAATTGCCCCATGATAGCCCCCGTAGCGCGTGCGTGAGGTGCTTCTGCAAAAAACAGATGTAGTCTTCCTACGCACGAGGTCAGGCAACCTTTGAAGGCGGTTTCCCAGCCTGAAACTAAGACTTATACTCAATCCTTGGGAAAATTGGGAAGGGGTGAGACAAATATGCATTCAATCGTCACTTGACTGATTCATTAGTAAGTTGTATGAACACTGTTACTACTCTACAGAATACGGTATGCAGAGGTGGCTTTGGCTCTCTTCTCTCTCTTATTCGGAGGCGGAGAGTTGCAAGATGAACACGCCACATTTTTTCAGCTGTTTTCCTTTCAATCTCTTCGCTGACGTTTGGCAATGGACCCATCGACCGACATCAGCTTCAACCGGACTCAGATCCATCTCATCTCTTTTCTGTCTTCCCAAAACTTTTCCGATCGATGACGCTCTACGCTGAGCATCTGCTGGCGCTGCCTAACTATCACTCTGCAGCTGGCATTGCTTTCGAAAGTTGACATATGCTATCCATCTATCTGCAGTTATTCTTCGTATACTCTTACCAATACGACGGTCTGCTGAGTTGAGTCGCGTCCTTGGAATACTTTTTTATCGCAACACCAAGATTTTTTTCCTTTTTTAAAATACTCAACTGATAGCTATCCTTTTAATGTTTGACGAGTGCGTCGGTCGGATGGCGACATCTCCCCTTGACATTCTCCGTATGCTTTGGGCTCGCCAACGTGGCGGTGATGACGATTTGCACTACAATACGATCGACTCCTTTACCAAACTCATCATCCCAAGGGTAAAAAGGGAGGCCAAAATACTCGAACGAAGAGTGAAATTTTTTACCTGACGATGATGATATGCTTTTGGGTCGGTTAAGTGAAATGGTCGTGGTACAGGTTGTAGGCTTTATGAGGAGCGCTCTTGAGGGCATTTTCCATCTGCAAGATTGACGGCAATAAACATTTCTTCTCCGATCTTCATCAGGATTAAAGCACTACGATACTCAGTGACCTATAGTCAGAATTTTCAAAAAGACTAGTAGATTACTTCTCACAAAGGAGCATGCTTCTATAAAGGCAGCCAGTTCAGGTTATCCATGATCATGAGATTGATGATGTGCATTCCATGTAGGTATTTTCCATTTTTTCCAAAAAAAAAAAAACTAAAACACGGACGCCCTCTATCGGGATCTTCCTGTTTGAAGACGAATGCGGCGGTTCCAAGATTTTAAGGACTCTTTTTATTAGAGTGACTTTGAATGTTCTCTTTCCCTCCACGCCTTCCGATCAGGGGCGCATTTCACGATGACATGGATATGATTATTGCTCTCGAAAAGGAGAGTAGATGTTTGAAATGATCGCAGTGACAGCTATTCAGAGGAAACCATTAGGAACAGTGTGAATGGGAATCTACGTCTATTCTAAGCAGAGCAGACATAAAGAGAACAGACAGTTTCAGTAGACAACCGTCGCAGAGCCGAGAAAACGGTCACAGATATAAGAGTGCATGGGAGAATGTGGATACGCAGTTACCGCAAAGGTGGGTGGACAATGTCGTATGGAGCGTTCGTTGATACCAGGTTATAAACACCTAACAATCTAGCCATGCGATTTACTATCCTGAGGCATGTATTCACAGAAGAAGAGACCACTCAAAGTGTTCGTGCACCGTAGTTTCAAAGGCAGGTAGTGTGATGAAATGATGTTGATGGAGGAAAATATTCCTGCTGTACTTGGAGGCTAGGATCCCAGTACAGTACCGAGTCGCGACATTGGGCGGCGGAGAGCGCGATCGTAACCCTTTTTGCAACTTAAACTTTCACCATTTAACAGTACAGACTTGATACGTAGTGACCCTGCCCTCGCGGAAAGTCCCACACCTAGCTGGTGGACCCAGCCTATGATTGAGCCCCTAACCTAGGACCCTCCGCCTTATGGTGTGTGATAGTTCCGTTATTGAAAACAGTGCCGTGCAACAAATCAAACCAAAGGCCAACTCTATCTAAAATGCTACCATAAAATAGAGTTGGAAAAAATCCTCAGTGTCCTTTGTCCCATAATTGCCTTACGGCTTTGAATAGGCAGCTATTTCTCACAGCGAAATATTGCGGCCAGCTGGCGGCCAATTGCCTCCCCTCACTCTTACGCTGTCACTAGACAGGGTCGCATACATCCCGAAACAATTGCACACCTCTGCGTGCAGCCGTTGGAAATCCGGTATCGGCGGTCGTGGATAGCGTTCTCCAGTTTGATCTTCTAGACACTGGTGATGTCGAACCTTCGATGACACATGGGTACGGATGGTATGCTCCTGTGAAAACACAATGAATAAAAAAAACTTCGAGATATCAAAAAAACACAGCGTATCAGCAACCCAAGCTTGCTCCATAGTGAATAGGTGGATATGGATATAAGTGGATAGAGATCTTGACTCAATTTAAACAGATCGCGCTAGATATTGAAAGGTTTGTCGCCCACCCCGCCGCGACCTAAACATACAGTCGGTCGCGCGTCAACTATGTAGAAATCGCAGCAGTTGCAGATATTCCAAAAATCTGAATGTGTAGTAGACAATGTGAGACTCAGGGACAGGACAATTCCTAAACAATTTCAAAGAGTCACTCCATGTAGAACAGTTCTACTGCAGCTGTAGGATGAGCTCTAGAGAAAAACACCGTTGTGGCATCCTCAAGCGTGAAGATCGCCCGACAAGGGCGCTAGCGACTTGCAAACACCGCTTCAGCCGCTTTCCACTTTTGCAGCATGCTGTTGCCTGGCACCGTTTCGTCCGTTGTGCTATCCCGCCTTCCTTTCTCCAATATGCTTATCCTCATGCTTATCTCTCATTGCCTTAGCACGAGAGTGAGCAGGCCTTTAAGTATAGGACTTCACAG